TAGGCAGCCCACTAGGTTTCGGAACATAAATAGCACAAAAGACATTTCAGAGATGTTCGATATCAGTAATATTACACCTAACGATCAATCTTAAATAAAGTCATTGCATTTCTAGCCATCATTACAGTACATTCGGCATCAGATGGATTGAAGTTAGGCACAGCGGCATAAATTGATTTGAGTCCTCAGCGAACGTTGCATTACACCAACTGCCAGGGGCACATGCAATAGATTTATTTACAGTCCCGGCATGTACAGTTTTCCCATGTATATGGCCCTTCATGTAGCGCCATAAATCATTTTTTTCATCAAATAATGATAAACGTTCTCAAGATAATAGATTCAGCCCCAGTCGCATTGGGATACATTTGTTAACATACAGTCATATTTCTCTAATGAGCTTGCCTGTGCACACACGTGTGTGTGATGGTTACAGACCTGTACGGCAATTTTCCATTTGACATTTCTTTATTGGAGGAGGTTGAGTTATGGCCAAGGTGTGTGTGTGTGTGTATGTTTGTGTTACACCAGAAGACCTGACCGCAGTCATCGGAGAGATTCATGTTCCTCGGGGGCTATTTTAAAAGCCATTGAGCACAAGCACAATGAATGAGTAAAAGGCCATAAATCTACTCTTTAAACCAACATGGCTGGCCCAACTAATGCTCTCACAACCCATTACACTCTGCACATTAAACGCCTGTGTTAATAACCGGCCATAACCGTGGGATAAAAACCAACCCGACACGGCCTGATTAGCACCCTTCTCCACTTTTAAAAAATGGCCAGAGAGACAGAGACCGAGAGGAGAGGAGAAGAGCGGTAGAAAACAAGCCACAAAGTGAGTGACAGCCTCATTGTCGGGGCATCCCATTGTTGAGAATGCTTACATTTCTCCACCGAATGCCCCATTCCTCTCCAGATCCCCCCCTTCTAAATCCAATCATCAGAGAGGCGTGCAAACAAAAGCAGACATCTTTCTAGCCAGATTCATGTTCATCCGTTTTGGATAAAACTGAATGCGCTGTTAGCACCAATCACTGGACATTTCACTTTGAAAGTGTTGCAAAACTTGCAAGAAGCAACGTAATAAATGAGTCTGGGTTGGTAGAAGTGTCTTTAAAACCTTTAGTTCCAATTCTAAATTCTGATTGGATGAGCAATATTCAAAATATCCAGCATATGCACACCACATATCAGTTAAACTCATGCAGAAAGTTGCACCACGCTTGACTGTGTAAACAACTAAAGTCACTCCTACATGTAAATAACATCTACTGAGAGAAATACAAAAATATATCACGGTATGGCAAAATCTCTATGTTTTGACGCCTTTCTATTGTTGCACAGTATATACATCAGCCCTAGCCTATAGCCCTGTGCATGCGTGCATGTAGACGGACAGACGGGCTGTCAGCAGTCTGTCAGAAGAGTGTTTGGGCTCATGAATATTTGATTAACTCATGGATTATGTAAAGCAGTGAGCGTGCTCATTTGGGTGAAAGCACACATATACATACGCATACTCTCAGTTACGCTATGTTGCATACTATAGATACTTTGCCTCAGGTCATATATTGTTCCAAGATAACTGCGCACATACACAGATGTAATTAATTTGTCATTACACATCAGAAGAACTAAACTACATGCACAATGTTCTGGGTGTATGCCAAACATCAGAGATAAGATTGGAATGCTAGTTCATTGTCTAGTCTCCAGCAAATGGCAGGAGTATGTGAACTGCTCTTACCATAATGTATGTGTATGCTTTGATTTGAGATTTGAGCTTCTGTTATTGAAATATTTGAACTTTTGCAGCTAGACTGTGTGTAAATGACTTAATTTAAGCTATTATATGGCTTTGGAAAACTATCACTTTTAGGATACTTTTATGGTACTTCTATGGTGTCTGTATTGAAGCTTGAAAGCCTTCGTACTCATTCACTTTCAACATATAGTACAAAAACAGTCAGGTTGTTCTTCAACTTTTGTGTTCAATGGAAGACACAAGTCTTTGAATTGATACATTATTATGGTCAGTTTCTTGAGTTAACTATCCATTTGAACTGTCAACATGTTTCTAACTGCCCATCTGAATAATAACACATGCGTTTTAATGACACATTTGACGCTAATGCTATCACCCCCCTTGAGTACTGTGGTTTTGCTAGAGCATATGTGTAAACTTGTCAGTGTAATCTGGGATCACTAGCCTGTCTAATCTACTACATCAACTCGACCCCTGTTGTTTACATTATCGCCATGCCGACCGGCAGTAATGCTATTATGACATCACAGGACATCAACAGCATATCATATTGCATTCCAACCGCTCTACACTCCTCTAATATTAATTTCACGTGCTTCTCTGTTCTGTCATATTGATGTAGAACAAAATCTGCCTCCTAAATCATAAAACCGCCTAACAATCGGAGTACAGGCCCATTTTTAGCTCCCGCTATGCCAGAATGCCAACCTCGAAGTGATTTTTACCAAGTGCAATGAACCTTACTGGTTTAATTGAACAGGTCTTGGGTACCGAAATTGGAGTTTAAATAAATTTGCTGTTTCTCTTCAAGTCCTACATTCATTAAGGAACCTTTTTCCCCTTTCCTTTCTCTATCCATCTCACCCCCTTCCTTTGTTTCAACATCCCTCCCCCCGTTCCCCTCATTAAAGCGGGACCCTGAGAGTGCTGGTCACTGCTTCTCATTTATTTTCATTTGAAACTCGCGCAGCTTCATTGAGCCACAGCTCGACGGTGGGCACCTTGGGACAGGTCATTCTCCTATAACACAAAACCACCCATTTCTGCAACACGCTCGCACACATATCCCAGAACGCACAGTGACAGCAGCCCATCGCCGCAGCCGCACACTGACACAACCACCATTGCCTTGTTTTACCGCAGTGAAAGGCTTTCCAAGCCACTAATTGCAGAGTACAAACTCCAGTGTTTATAGCGGAAAGTCGGCAGTGCTGTACGAGCGGTTTTAGGAAGATAGTGTAAGCCTGTGAAGCGCAAACTGACCTGGTGTCATCTGTGATTACTTAACCCTTCAACTTCCTGTGAGAAACCCATTCAGCCTTAGCTAAAGAATTTAAATAGCCTTCTCAGCCAAAGTCTTCAAAAGAACACTCATACAGGCTGCGCTTGATAATATCATGAGCTGCCTACCTACAGAAACATTTTTGGGCATCATAAATGAACATTTAAACATGCCTATGATGACTAAAAATGATGTCTAGGTAGGCATCCCACTTGGTTTTAAAACTGTGATGTCCAAAATTGATGTCTGGGTAGGCAGCCCACTAGGTTTCGGAACATAAATAGCACAAAAGACATTTCAGAGATGTTCGATATCAGTAATATTACACCTAACGATCAATCTTAAATAAAGTCATTGCATTTCTAGCCATCATTACAGTACATTCGGCATCAGATGGATTGAAGTTAGGCACAGCGGCATAAATTGATTTGAGTCCTCAGCGAACGTTGCATTACACCAACTGCCAGGGGCACATGCAATAGATTTATTTACAGTCCCGGCATGTACAGTTTTCCCATGTATATGGCCCTTCATGTAGCGCCATAAATCATTTTTTTCATCAAATAATGATAAACGTTCTCAAGATAATAGATTCAGCCCCAGTCGCATTGGGATACATTTGTTAACATACAGTCATATTTCTCTAATGAGCTTGCCTGTGCACACACGTGTGTGTGATGGTTACAGACCTGTACGGCAATTTTCCATTTGACATTTCTTTATTGGAGGAGGTTGAGTTATGGCCAAGGTGTGTGTGTGTGTGTATGTTTGTGTTACACCAGAAGACCTGACCGCAGTCATCGGAGAGATTCATGTTCCTCGGGGGCTATTTTAAAAGCCATTGAGCACAAGCACAATGAATGAGTAAAAGGCCATAAATCTACTCTTTAAACCAACATGGCTGGCCCAACTAATGCTCTCACAACCCATTACACTCTGCACATTAAACGCCTGTGTTAATAACCGGCCATAACCGTGGGATAAAAACCAACCCGACACGGCCTGATTAGCACCCTTCTCCACTTTTAAAAAATGGCCAGAGAGACAGAGACCGAGAGGAGAGGAGAAGAGCGGTAGAAAACAAGCCACAAAGTGAGTGACAGCCTCATTGTCGGGGCATCCCATTGTTGAGAATGCTTACATTTCTCCACCGAATGCCCCATTCCTCTCCAGATCCCCCCCTTCTAAATCCAATCATCAGAGAGGCGTGCAAACAAAAGCAGACATCTTTCTAGCGGCGGGACGGGGCTTAACCCCTCCTGGTCGTCCCTCTCTTTGTTTAATACGATTATTACATCCAAACAAACTCAGAATTTAGGTCCTCGCAGGTGCGTTTGCACACTTAAATGTATGCAAATATACTCGCACACTTTACAGGGTGCATTAATATAGATTAGGACCGCTTACGTGGAAATGCGTCTGCAATAAGTGCAAAAAGGCGACTGCAATAAGTAAGCACACAAGCACAATTTTATTATCAAGGATGCAGTGCCTCTTTCTGTCACTCTGTTTCCCTTGCACACACACACGCCTTGCATTATCCTGTGTGCATGCACGCGCATCTTCAAACACTTCTTTATAGCTGTATCAACTCTTCAGTCTTCTAAGAGGCTCCGAACGAACCGTAGGGAAGAGAAACAAGAGAGGGGAATGTTGCAAGGTGCACATTTTTACGGCTGGCAAGACAAGTGCAGGCGGTACAGCGCAGGCAGGGTCCCGCAATTTGACAAAAACACAACTGCATGCACGCACTGCTCAAACGGCCTACAAACGGCATGTCAACGAACCGCGTCAACAAAACCGCAGGGCTGCCGTCAACCAAACATTCCTGAAACGGCTCGCCGCATGCCTGCAGCTATGAACAACAGCAAACCTTTCGGAGCTAGCTGGATCTGTGTGTATGTGTGTGCATGCATGTCTTTGTGTGCTGTCCAGGGACAGCTTTACCTCAGCAGCAGTTCTTCTGTGCTCCTCATGGAGACATCGCTGTTCGCGGTGGATGGGTATCGCATGCTGTCCACACACACACTCGGCACAAAGCCCAGCTCAGACGAGTGCTCCAACATCGCCGTTACTCCAAACGCAAGCACACACTCACACAATCCTTGTGCTTTCAGTTGTGGCGGGTGTACGCTGGCCCTTTCTCTAGCGTTTGAATCCTCTCTCTCTCTCTCACACACAGTAACACTCCCACCCATCCACCCTCACCGGCTCCCTCCTCCTTCCCCTCGTCCCTCCCTCCTCCCGTCTGATTCACTGGGCTGTGATAACCCTTTCTGACAGCTCATGTTGTTTTTGGGCCAGAGCTAGTGCTGTTAGCCTGGTGCTGGCTAGCATTGAGAAGCCTGCTGTTGTCCAGGATGCCCAACACCCCTTAGGACAGCTCGTATTTCGTATCCGTACAAGAATAACAACTAAAGAAGTGCCGTTTGAACACCTTAAAGAAGTAGGCAAGACTATACACAGGTCTGGTACAACAACTTTGTATCTCTCAAGAACGTCCATCTTTGTCCTAATATTGTTTGTCAACATAGGCAATAAAAAAAAGAGAGAAAAGGCAGCAGAGATGGACATGAACGTATCTTTTGTGAATGACCCTGGGCATACTAAAATAGGGACTTATTTGGATAATTTATCAATGCTGAGGAACTGAAAGATAAGTGAATCAAGCATACTGAGAGGTCCACTTAATGAATAGCTTTGCTTGTATTGTTTGTATTGCTACAATGTTGGTACTTGGTAGTATATGTAGATGTTACCTGCACCCAGATATTCCCTGTGTATTCATAGGCAAAAGTCTGCCAGATGATGCATATGAGGTGTGGGTAACATGGTGAAAGAGTACACATTGTTCACTTACATATACAGGTGCATCTCAATAAATTAGAATGTTGTGGAAAAGTTCATTTATTTCAGTAATTCAACTCAACCAACAAGCTGTCCTTTAACAATTACCATGGTGATGAAATTATGGAACAATTTTGAAAAGGTTACACAGTAAACTGGACTTGTCTTCTCTTGGCCTGAGTGGTTTATCCCATTTAGTGTGCCAAGTTTTAAAACAGTTCAATGATTCCGGGTTAGGTTTTGCAGCAGTGCTACTCATTTTTTTTTCTTTCTGAGACAACACCAGAGGCATTTTGAGGACCATTGTTTTGATAAATTAGTTTTGCGGTGGGAAAGCAGAAAATCACCAGGGACGTGGATTAGTTTAAATGAGGGTTCGGAGTGTGAGTGTTGTATGTGCAATTCTAAGAAGCCTATTTTTCCTCCCAATGGGCACATTTTGTTAAAGAGTCACACTCATCTGAAAATAACCTCTTGTCATTGCTCTTTCTTTTCACCATCTGTTCCTACCCCTCCATCTCTCTCTCATTCTCTCTATTCTAGAAAAACATATTTACCTCCTCTCTCTTTAAAGGCAGAGTAAGTGATTTTTCAAAAACACTTTAGAAAACTGATTCGGGCCGAATCGCAAAACAAACTTGTAGCCAATCAGCAGTAAGGGGCGTGTCTACTCGTGATGTGGAGGAGAGCGCGTTCGGTGCATGGGACGGACATTAGCCGAGTCGAGCGACAGAAAGATAGAGATGGCGGATAAAAAAACAAAAGAGGAAAACGTCTGCAGAAGGATAAGGCAAGAAGTAGGACCCGTGTAAATATCTGATCAGCTTTGCAGCGCTGGAGAGAACTCAAGGAGCGGAGGCCTGCGATTGGACGCCGAGGTTGCTTTGTTTCTTCTCAATAGGTGAGTAACACCGTGTCTACAACAGCTAAAGTCTGCCTACACTGGACGCGATCAAACGACCGTTGAAAACCATTTGAAATTTGTGTCAGCACGTCATAAATAGAACCCGGCAGCAGTTTTCTGTCGGGGATTTGTTGCACCACGCCGCTCACGTCCGTAGACACGGTGTAACATTGGTTTTGCTTTGTTTCACAGAACTAATCGTTGCCTGGGTTGCGTACGTATATGTGGGGCGGAGCTATCAAAATAGGGGCAAGACCCTTTTGGGGTAGGGGCGTGTTTGTTTTGGTGATTTCAAATATCAACATTGGCTACCAGAAATCACTTACTCTGCCTTTAAATGTCTCCTCCTTTCACAAGTTTCTTACTCTCTCTCTCTTTTCCAAATGTCTTCCAGATCTGCCTGTTTAAAAATGCATTGTGTTTATTACGGCTCATGAAAGTTTCATTGCGAGAAAAACACATCAGAGGATCAAGGGCACCGATTCATTAAAGGACAAAACTTTGTGTTGCACCTTGCACACTTGGCTACGATCATTCACAACACTTGCAATAATTGGCAGAGTAATTTGTTTACCAAACACCTGCGGTCCTGAGGTGCCCCATTAATGTCCTATAACTGTACCTACTGCAATAGATGCCGACCCCATCACTTCAAAAAATATGTTTTTCTTCGACGTTGATCTGGAATCTGCATTATGCTGACCAGAGTGATTCCGATTACAGATGTCACGCAAATAAAATAGTTTAGGAGCATAACATAATCAGTTCCAAATGTCTCTCTGCTCCATCTGCCACCTCCTTTTCTTTCTCTCCGTCTGTCTTTCTCTATCATCAGCCCCTCTGCCAGTCTCACATGATCTAGTCAGTGTAAATGTAATGGTTGTCCAGCAGCGAGTGTTTCTGAATGGCAGGCATATAGTCAGATGTGGGCAGGGAACTTAACGGCTAGACGAAATGCCAAATGTATTACCAATCAATGCTAATTCACACGTATTTCACGTATTTTTTGGCAATTGTTTTGCAACAGAAAAATCTACCCGTCTGTCTGCGTGAGGGTTGAAGTCAAGCTGTTACTGACAGCCGAAAAGAAAATATATGCCAGGGGTGATAACTGGTTTCCTATGATCTCTGGCAATGGCATTTGATTAGCTAAGTCTGAGGCAGATGCCTGATCACACTCAATTGGTTGAGTCCATAGGCCCCATTATGAGTGATTAGTGCAGTAGAAGAGAAGAGAAGAGAAGAGAAGAGAAGAGAAGAGGATAAAATGAAAAAGGGATGAGTTGAAATTAGATGAGACAAAAGGAAAAAAGAATAGGACAGATATGAGAAAAGATGAGACAATAAGAGATGAGAAAAGAACAGATGAGTCTAAGACGAGATGAGATCAAATGAGAAGATAGACAAGATGAGACAAATAAAATGACAAGAAGAGAAATAAAGAGATGAGTACACAATAAGATGAATAAGAATAATAAGAACAATAAGAAATGAGGAGTGACAAGCTCAGAGAATTCAAAAAGAAAAGAGAAGGGATGAGGCAAGACAGGACAAAAAACTCTACAGAAAAAGTGTGGTGAGAGAGATCTTTGCATGTATAGACAGTGCCCTGCGACAATGTGTGCCGACACACACACACAAAGCCAAAGCAGGCCGATTATAAAATAATTTACAGTCCATCGCACAAACATAACATTCTCTGTCAAGTAGTTGTATTGCATTTACAGTTTAATGAAATGACCTAGTTAGAGTACTTTCCTGCATTATTCCCACTCTCTCAATCTTCTATTCAGTTTAATCTGTATGACATTATACCGTTCTACTGTGTTTAATACCTACTCTCTTTCTCTCACTCTTCTGGCTAACTGTCTTGTCTATAACAGCGATTAAAAGGTCAATGCCCAATCACTCCTAGCCATGACAGCCCATCTTGAATGGCTGTCTATGTGGCAACTATTCACTAGGCTAGTCTTTTGGGTATTTCATCTCAGAATAGTCCTGAAATGTCCAGGTAAAAACTGGGTTTATTGATCCCTCAGGAGCTTCCAAATACAGTCTTAGGCACATCATGCACATACTGCACATAACAGTTTTAACAGAACACAACCGAACACAGGGGGGTTGAGATGTGTTTTTAATATCTAGGCTTGTCGCCAGTTATTGATAAGTACAATATTAAAAAGACATCAGACATGTTTACAATGGCACAGTGACACAAGATCAATTTTAACTTAGTCGCAGCCTCATTCAGACTGTGTTCACTTACTGCAGCAGTATTTGAAATCATTCATTTATTATTGCATGATAATAATAATGTAATAATATTGTAATAAGCAGTAAAAACAAGTAAAACTGTGATTTGTCACTTTACATCTCAAGCAGACAGTCTCCTCCTGTCTAAGTGAGTGGTGCTTGGCCAAAATATTCTGTAATAGGTACTATCCAATGGTAGGTTGTAAAGCGTAATGTGCTTCCAGCTGGTCATTATTGAAAAAATAAATGCATATAGTGTGATCAGGACCCTGATGTGGAGTCATTTTACCTGAAGATGATCTTAAAGCTTCTGAGAAAAAAAGCATCTAAGAAAAAAAAAAAGTAAAAGAGTAGCACCAGTTTCAGTTACCCGGATGAACGGTCTAATATACAAAGCTGTCATGAATGATAGGATTTATTTGACCGTCGAATGCCACGACTGACCAATCAGAATCAAGTATTCTACAGAGCAATAATAGTAGGGTAAAATAAAGGGCTGTTCACATCAAAAACGATATCTGTAACCATACCTATATGGGCCAACAGACGATAACATTCTGTTTATTATAAGTGAGCGCTGCAGTTATGTAGTCTGCCACTTTAAATGTTCAATCTCTTTAAAGTCACATGGATTCTGATTGGCTGACAATGTTTTTTATCATTTATCAGCTGATTTTTGTTTTTTTACGTGATTCAAACAATATTGTTTGTCTGTTTTGGTATCATTGTAACAGTGGTGTGGTAATTATCCTTGATGTAAACAGCCCTGAAACAAATGACCTTCCCTTTGAGAACAGCTGAACGATGCAGTTTTTGGCATATTTTGCATGACATGCACTGGACCTGCAATGCCAGTTGTGGCACCAGTAACACTGAGACTTTGCAAGTGTGTGTGTGTTTCCTAAAGCAGGTCAGACTTACGCAATTCACAGAGGCTCTGCCTTTATTATTAAATGTTATCGAGCCTTAAAAAGATGGAATATCAAAGGAATATCCCAGCGGGTGGAGAAAGGGACAATGAGAGTGAAATGTAAGGTGTTTTTGAGAGTTCGTGAGCTAACATTAATAAAATAAGGATTACCCGACGTCAGCACTGTGCCATTTCACCTATTCAAACAGCATTTGGCTCTCTTTGACCGGCACTTTCAGATTATTTTACCTCGTTTTGTCTCTCTCAGGCCTAAAAACATTTAATCTCTACCAGAATGCAGTCCACGTGAGACCCTCAGAAAAAGGAAGACCCTCAATTCTTTCCCCCT